GCCATCGTATTTCCCGGCCAATGGGATCGCATCCGTGTGCGACCCTGTGACGACAGCTGGCAGCGATTGATTGGATCCCTCCCTGTGTGCGCACGGAAAGGCGTCAAAGGAGGAGATTGAGAGTTGAATGAGCTCATTTCCTTAACAGAGAAGTTTGTGAGGCGCCTCAAAAGGAGAAGTTTTAGAGGCGCCTCAAAACACTCCCTGTGTGAGCACGGGAAGGCGTCAAAGGAGGAGATTGACATTTGAATCAGCTCATTTCCTTAGAGGAGAAGTCAGTTCAAAGAGGGCGAACGAAGAAATCATGGAATTGGCTTTTAGCAGACGGCTACCGCTTACCATCTGCCAAAGATGTTGTTTTGAGACGTCTCAAAGCACTTCTATCACGAAATCATGGAATTGGCTTTTAGCGGACGGTTACCGCTTACCATCTGCCAAAGATGTTGTTTTGAGACGTCTCAAAACACTTCTATCACGAAATCATGGAATTGGCTTTTAGCGGACGGTTACCGCTTACCATCTGCCAAAGATGTTGCCGATGGCATCCTCCCTTACAGCCAGTCCCACTTCCCTCATAAGCGTCTTTACGTAACTGTGCACATACATACAGACAAACACACCCATACATCCACACATACAGAGACACACATAGACACATACACAGCATGTTTGAGGCGCCTCAAAAAACATACAGAGACACATACACAGCAAGATGCTAGAAAGGTCAGAGCAGCAACGAAGGTCAGCCAGTGTAGCAAGACGCGTTGAGGAAAAATGCGAGAAAGAAGTGTTCACATGTACTTTTAGTCGACTCAAAACACTCCATGCACTCACTCTCTTGCCCTCACGTCGTTCTCCGTGAACAGTATCCGCGTGACAGCTGGCGGCTCGTCATTGGAGAAGGTGGCGAGGTGGTCGATCTGGGGAGGGAGGGCGGTACGAATAGGATGAGATGGATGGATGATGAATGTTTGAGACGAAGGGGGATGAGGGAGGAGGGGTCCTAATCCCAGCCTACCTGCTCTTGAAGCCGGTCCACGTCAACATGAAGTTGACTTTCGAGTTGACTCAGAAGTCAACTCTAGGAGCAACCTACCTGCTCCTGAAGCCGGTCCACGTCGACAGCAATCTCACTCGCACCAATCCCAGGGCCCGCTCCCTCCACGTGTCGGAATTCCGGATCGGCTGGAATCTGCTCGAATCTAGGGTTCCTGTGCGTCAGTTGAAGAGCAAATTTCCAGTTTCCCAGCTCGAAATTCCCCACTCCGCCAGGAAATACCCCCGCCGCTGCTGCCGCGGCAATCGCGGCTATTACAGCTGCGAGAACCGCGGCCGCTACAGCCGTTCCTGCTGCTGCGCGCGGCTTAGTAGAGGGTTTGGAGCTCGAGTCGTCTGTAGCACCTGAATGAGCCTTTGCAACGACGGGACGGTCAGTAGCAGTAACTCTTTCCGAGTGAGATTTTGCAACCTTTTCCGAGTTCCCAGAATATAAACGGTCAGAGCTTGAAGTGGTAGCCATGGAAAGGAAACTCGAAGGGCAAGGGCGTTTCGCGCAGGCGACAGGAGAAATTAGCAGGCGACAGGCAAGTGCAAGTCAGAACTACCAACGAGGCGCGTCTGACACACCTTCATAAGGGCGTGTCACCTCGCTGTTCGAACAACACTCTCATTCGAACAGGCGAAATGTTACATCTGTCGCCACGCTTCGCATGGGCTTTTACGACGTCGCATGACGGAATTGTCGCCCATCCGACAACGCTGTCACATCGGGCGGATAGCGATTCACGTTGCACGTTCGAACAGAGTTGTTCGAACGCCCAGACCTAGGTGACAGAAATTCCGCAGGGACGAGGCATTTGATTGGTCAGCCGCACACCGCGTCGCCCACGAATGAGTTTTTAGATTGCGAGTGTCGCATTGAATGCGACAAACTTTTAGATTGACGAACCCTCAAACGTTGGATTCGTCGCCTCGCGCCATCGCCTGATTTTGGGCGACGTCGCATGTTCGAACAAGGCGCTTGTTCGAACAAGGGGGGCGTCACCTTTGTAATTCTGTTCGAATTTGTTTTCGGAACGTCACGGGACAGTGTTCGAACAGTGAAAACGGTACGCATGTTCGAATTTGGGGTCTCGAGCCCAGAGGTGACACGCCCTAAGCCTTGCCAGAAGTTGTTCGCTTCGTTATGGAGTCCTCAAGTGTTAAACGAACATGTACACCGCTTCATAGGGTTTCCTGGCGTTCTGCGCTTCTTATTTGATTTTTATCCGTTAGTTGTCTAGGACGTACGGTGTTAATAACTGAATTACTGGTACTCAAATGAGGTATATTTTATATAACCATGGGTGTGGTTGGACTCGGCGTCAAGTGCTGTGAGAAGCGTGGCTGATTAGCGGGTACTACAGCCCACTCAGTTATTATTGTATTTAGGACAAAAACATACGACAATTACTGCTCAAAGGGTGCTAGGTACAACTAGGCACAACCTGGAAATGAGATTGCTACCGTATAATAATTAATCAAATAGTTTTAAACAACGCATAATTTACAAAAATGTTTCAACTCTAGCTTTACTCATTTTCAGCCATCGGAGTGGGGTGGGGGTTGCTTCTTGGGACGTCTTCGTCCTTACAAAACTTAAGAGGGTAGATCACCCTCCTTATCACTGCTCAAAACACTTCCCTCTTTGCCTTCTTTCCATTGGCGGAGCAGGGAGGAAAGACTCGGCAATTTTAAGAGGGATTCACCCAGCTCGGGCGTATCAATAGACGCACGCCGGGATGAGGATGGTAATAATGAGGATGGGTAGAGACCAGGTTGGTGTGGGGACACAGCGGCTCTCTCCTTGTAACTCTCTGATTGCCGTCGGATAGAGCGGGAATGGAGAAGTAAGGAGGAAGAGGAGGAGGAGGAGGAGGAGGAGGAGGAGGAGGAGGAGGAGGAGGAGGAGGAGGAGGAGGAGGAGGAGGAGGAGGAGGAGGAGGAGGAGGAGGAGGAGATAGCAGTGGAGGAGGGAAGGTGAGAGGTGAATAAAGAGGAGTTGGAGGTGGTGCGGCGGAGGGTTGCTAAGGAAGCAGAGAGGGAGAAGCTACGATGCAAGGGACTGGTGCCGGCTGTTGCAGCAGCAGCAGTTGTAGCACTAGCTGTTGCAGAAGCTGTAGCAGCTAGGGCGGCTGTGGCAGCAGCTGCTGCAGTAGAAGCATCTGTTGTAGCTGCAGCGGCTGTAGCACCATCAGCAGTCCCAGTCACGCTGTGATTTTCAGGAGTTGTGCCGGTGGGAATGGCATTTTCAGTAATACTGGGCGTATAAACTGTTGCGACTTCTGAAGGAGCGGCAGAGGGTGCTGTGACAGATGGGAATGAAGGGAATGATGGGAATGGAACAGGAAGAAGAGGAGGGAGGGGTGAGGGGTGTTGAGTAAGGAAGGAAAAGGAGGAGAAGGTTCGACGGATCCAGTTGCTGGTGGTGGCATTGTTAGAAGAGGGCTTGCTAGAAGAGGTGGTGCTGTTAGCAGTGTTGGTGTTGCTCCGTGTTATAGCTCTCCTTCTGCCACTGCTGCTGCTGCTGCTGCCAATGCTTCTACTGCTGCTGTTGCTGGTGCTGCTACTACTGGTGATTTTGCTGTTGCTGTTTCCTCTTCCAGAGGGTTTGTTAGAAGAGGTGGTGATGGAAGACGGAATCGCGGTGGCCTCGGAGGATAAAGGAGGAGGGGCAGAAGGCACAGGAGAGGGCGAGGAGAGAGGGGGAATCGCAGGACCGGGGAAAGACGCAGAGCGAGAGCTTTGAATGACAGGTTCGGAGGAGGAGAGGGAGGAGGACGAGAAAGAGGAGGAGAGGGTTCGGAGAAGGGAAGGGGGTCTGAAAGGGAGGAGAGAGGTGGAGAGTGTGCGGAAGAGAGAAGGGGGATGGGAGGGTGGAGAGGGGTTGGAAGGGGGAGGGGGATGGGATGGAGGAGAGGGATGCGAGAGGGGATGGGACGTGGGGGACAGTGGGGGGAAGGAGTGCGGCGGGGAAGAAGGAGGAGGACGCGAGGAGAAGTTGTTCGAAGGATCGGAGGAAACAGGGTGCTGACGAGAATCATGAGGAGGGGGAAGAGGAGGATGGCGGGGAGAATGGTGGCTAGTAGCGGCTGTAGCAGCAGCAGCCACAGTCCAAGTTGCACCAGCAGCGGAAGCAGGTACTCGCAACTCTCTGGCTGCAGCAGCAGCAATCGCCATCATTTCAATGATGTCACCCATCTCCTCCATCTCACCCATCTCCTCCATCTCACCCATCTCCTCCATCTCACCCATCTCCTCCATCTCACCCATCTCCTCCATCTCACCCATCTCCTCCATCTCACCCATCTCCTCCATCTCACCCATCTCCTCCATCTCACCCATCTCCTCCATCTCACCCATCTCCTCCATCTCACCCATCTCCTCCATCTCACCCATCTCCTCCATCTCCTCCATCTCCTCAGGTGTCACTTGAATGCTCATCTCAACTGTCTCCTCGGCTGCATTCTCTTGAGGTCTGGCATGAGGTGACTTTTGAGTCGACTCAAAAGCCGTCTTCTCCCCTGCTGCATTCTCTTGAGCTCTGCCTGGCATGCCAGAGCCCAAATCAGTCTCACTCTCCCCAGTTTCGCTTTGCAAAGAAGAAGAGAGAAATGAGGTGTTTTCCTCCCTCCTCCCTCCACCCCCCCAGGTTGATTTCTCACTCACACTCAAGCTTGTGACCGCCTCCTCACCCTCCTTTGCACTCACTCCCTCACTCACTTCCCTACACGCTTCTCTACCTTCTCGCCCATTCACTTGCTCCCTTACTTCCTCAATTGCGTTCACAATCGCTTTCTCTGTATCTTTCCTCCATACTTTAACGCCCTCCTCTCCTCCCTTCGCTCCTCCCTCCTCTCCTCCCTCCTCTCCTCCCTCCTCTCCTCCCCCCTCTCCTCCCTCCTCTCCTCGCTTCTCCCTCCCATCATGCCTGCAAATTCCTTCCCCCCCCACTGTCTCCCCACCCACATCCCCTCCACTTGCATCAGGTGCTGAATCAGGTGTTGCATCAGGTGTCGCGTCAGGTGCTGTATCAGGTGCTATCTCAAGTGCTGCAGAATCAGACGTCACTCCTCTAACTCTCCTGACTCCCGCCGCTGCATCTTCTGAAAAAACATCTCCCCTCTCACTCATCCCTCCCCCTCTCCTCCCACCAGTCACCGTTCCCCACACAGGCGAATCGGCCGATTCTGACTCGTGCGTATCCAAAACAGACCCTAGTGGTCCCCGATTGCACACTGCAGCACCATCTGCTGTAACCCCGCCTCCGCTTCCTCCTCCTTCTCGCCTTCCCCCTCGCCTCCCGCCGCTCACCGTTCCCCACACAGGTGAATCGGCCGATTCTGACTCTATTGACTCCGCAACAAAGCTTCGGGGTTTCCTGCTGGCCGCTGCTGCATCTCCTGGGAACCCACCGCCTGTGTGGGGTCCTGAGTGCACGGGCCTTCCTCCTCTCACCCCCCCTCGCCTCCCACCACTCACTGTCCCCCACACAGGCGAGTCAGCCGATTCTGACTCCTGCAAGTCCACAACAGCCCTACCACCACTAGCACCACCGCTGCGCACCGCTCTGCACACCTCTTTGCACCTCGATCTGCACTCCTCACCGCATACCTCTCTGCACACCCCTCGCTGCTCTTCCGGCCTATAAGCCTCCTCATGTGTGCCCTCCCTACGATCCCCCCTGACGGTGCCCCATACTGGGGAATCCACAGAATCAGACTCAAAGCATTCCCCTGAACGTCGACGGGACGAGTCTACAAACAACTTCGCCCGACGCACTCCCCCTTCAGTGGCCTCGTTATAAGCCCCACCAGTAGCCTCGCTATAAGGATCTCTCCTGAAATTCCCCCTGGTACTGCCCCAGACTGGGGAGTCAACCGACTCGAGCTCTGGGGAAGGGTTGAGAGTAGAGAACCCTAGTGAGGGGGAGTTGAAGGGGGGACAAAGGAACTTTTTGCCTTCCATCCCTCTCTCTTCGTGCATGTTACCTGCTCCTGCTCCTGATTCTGCTCCTGCTCCTGATTCTGCTTCTGAATCAGTTACCATTTCTGCTTTAGACTCAGCAGCCGAAACGAAAGCAGCACTCGCTCTTCCCCCCATCGACCTCCGCCTCCCCAAAGGAGACTTTCGTCTCGAACCCCCCTGCCTCGTACCCATTCCTGTACGCTCATCAGCCTTCGTCGATAAATGATTAACCATCCCCCCCACTCCCCCCAGTGACCGCCTCCTTCTGAGAGGAGACTTTCTTCTCGACCCCCCCTGCCTCTCGCCCGTTCCTGTACCCTCATCACCCACCCCCCCCAGGGTTGAAAATTGGTCCGCTGTGTCTGTGCCCCCCTGCCTTTCGCTCCCCACCACTCCCCCCATCGACAGCCTCCTCCTGAGAGGAGACTTTCTTCTCGAACCACCCTGCCTCTCGCCCGTTCCTGTACCCTCAACCTCAACGCCCGTTCCCCCCAAAACTGGTAAATGGTAAGCCATTTCCGCCCCCCCCACCCCCCCCATCGACCTCCTCCTTCCCAGAGGAGACTTCCTTCTCGAACCGCTATGCCTCCCGCTCTTTCCTGTACCCTCCTCAGCCCAACCACTCACAGCTGATAAATAATCTACCACCTCCCCCACTCCCCCCATCGACCTCCTCCTCCCCAGCTGATAATGCCCTTTTGAGCAGCCTTGCCTCTCGCCCGATCTTAAACCCTCAGTCTCATCATTCCGAGTGGATACAAGGTCTGCCATCCCCCCCACTCCTCCCAGTGACCTCCTCCTTCCCAGAGGAGACTTCCTTCTGAATCCACCCTGCCTCTCACGTGTTCTTGAACCTTCAGGCTGAGCCTGTTCGTCTGAAGTGGATAAACAACGATCAAGTGAGGGCCCCACCCCCCCCATCGACCTGCTTCTTTCCAGCATCGACTTTTGTCTCGAACGACCCTGCGTCTTGCCCGATCTTGCACCCTCAGCCTTTCCATTCAGGGCCGATAAATAATCAAGTACTTCCCCCATTCCCCCCATCGACCTCCTCCTCCCCAGCTGAGAGTCTTTTCTCGATCCACCCTGCCTCTCGCCTTCACTTGAACCCTCATCAGCCGTTTCATTGAGGGCCGAATAATAATCCACCACCTCCCCCATTCCCCCCATCGACCTCCTCCTCCCCAGCGGTGAGCGCCCTCGAGTGCCCGAATGCCTCCTCTCTCCCACTCCTCCCCACTCCTTTGCACCCAGTCCAGCCGCATTGTCCTCATTGTTCAACCCAAGCCCCAAAGAAGCACCGTCCATCCCTCCTCCCCCCATCGACCTCCTCCTCCCCAGAAGCGGTGAGCGCCCTCGAGTGCCCAAATGCCGCTTCTCTCCCACTCTTCCCCCCTCCTTCCCCCCCTTCCCCCCCTTTCCAGCATCACTGTCCCCGTCGTCTACTCCCAACCCTAAAGAACCAACGTCCAACCCCAGACCCCCCACTCCTCCCCCCATTGATCTCCGTCTTCCAAGCGGCGAGCGCTGCTGCCGATTCCCCAGACCCCGCCCCCCCCCCTCTCCTCCCCACTCTTTAACCTCTGTTCGACCGTCAACATTCCCATTCTGCACAGCAAAGGCTACATCTATCCCTCCTCCCTCCATCGACCTCCTCCTCCCCAGTGGCGAGCGCTGCCGCCGATTTCCCAAGCTCCGCCCCCCTCCCTCTCTTTCCCATTCCTTCCCACCGTCTCCACTCTTCATACTCCCATCGTTCACCTTAATAGAAGCAGTATCCTCCCCCCCCACTCCTATCGACCTCCTCCTCCCCAGTGGCGAGCGCTGCCGTCCATTCCCCAAACTCCCCCCCCCCCTTCCTGTTCGTCCTAAGCTCTTATCCCCCCAATTCTCCCCACCAGCACCGTTTAAGTAAGCATCTTGCTTAAAATCTCCTGCACTTTCAAGCGAACCCCTCCTCCTCAACCTACTAACCTTCAACTGTCCCTTGAAATCCGGAGATATCCCTCCAAAATCCACGGAATCCCCCCTGAAATCCAGGAAATCCTTCCTGAGATCCAGGAATTCCCCCCTGAAATCCAGGAATTTCCCCCGGAAATTAGAAGATTCTTCCCTCGAATCCAGCAAAACGTTTCTCGCATCCCGAAATTCTCTGCTGAAATCCAAAGGAGAGTATTTCCTTACATCCCGCAAATCCTCCCTGAAATCCAGGGATTCTCCCCCTAAATCCAAGGATTCTTCCCCTGAATCCAGCAGATCTCTCCCGAAATCCAGGAATTTTCTCCTCGAATCCAGGGAAGCATGCCGCTGCATTGGCAGCGGCACAGCAGGCTGGTCAACAAAGTCAAACGAGTCAACGGCAGTCTGCCCTGAAACACCCAGCATCCCGGATCCTCTCCTCCCCAGCTCCCCTTTTCCCCAGGAGCCCAACATCGCTTCAGGTTGAAACAGTGGGGCCGTGGGCGTTCCAGAAAAGTCAAACGAGTCAACGCCAGTTCTCTCAGCAACAGCAGCATCACCAGCAGCAGAACCCGAAGTCAAAGGCCCCCAGCTCCGAGCGTCTAGCGACCTTTGCTTGTGAAGGGGAGGGTGAGCGTGCATCTTGCCCACCCTTTTCTTCTCCTCCTTTTGCGGAATTTCAAACCCCACCTCCTTCTTCTTCTTCTCCTTGAGAAGGGCTAGTCTCGATTTCACCTCCGGCCTTCCAAGAAAGTCAAACGAGTCAACGGCAGTCTGGGTGGGAGGGGCAGCAGTGCCAGCAGCAGCAGCACCAGCAGCAGCAGCACCAGCAGCAGTGGTGGGCACAGGAGTTCCTGGCCCTGAGAAATCACTATCGGGGGGGAGTTGAAAAATGCCAATCCTCCATGGATCAAGGGATTGGTGCCGCCCTAATTGTTGCTGCCTCTGCTCCTCGTTCTTCTGCTGCTTCCCCTTCACCTGCTGCTGTCTCTGTTGCTGCTGCTGCTGCTGCTTCGGCTCCTGCTCCTCCTGCACCAGCAAACCAATCACTTCGCTTCCTCTTCCCCTCTCCTCTCTTCTGCTTTCCCTCACCTCTCCTCCTCTTTCCCTCACCTCTCCTCCTCTTTCCCTCAACTCTCCTCCTCTTTCCCTCACCTCTCCTCCTCTTTCCCTCACCTCTCCTCCTCTTTCCCTCACCTCTCCTCCTCTTTCCCTCTCCTCTCCTCCTCTTCCCCTCTCCTCTCCTCCTCGTGCCCTCTCCTCCCCACCTCTCCCTCTCACTTCCCCACTCCTCCTCTCCCCTCCTCTCATCATCACCACCCTCTGCTTCCCTATCTCCAGGCTCCTGGGATCTAGAGACGCCTGCCTTGCACCCAACCTTCCTGCTCTCACCCCCTCAGGAGCTTTCCCAAGAAACCCAGCAGGGCTGGTTGCTGACACAGCAGCAGCTGCTCTCACATCTGTATCTGCAGCAGCAGCAGCAGCTGTGGGATTACCTAAGGCCAGGCTCTTGGGATCCAGAGACGCCTGTCTTCCGCCCAGCCGCTTTCGAGTGCTCATCCCCTCGGGTGCTCTGCCAAGGAACTCAGCAGGGCTGGCTGGTGACATAGCAGCACCGGCAGCACCGGCAGCACCGGCAGCACCGGCAGCACCAGCAGCACCGGCAGCATCGGCAGCACTGGCAGCAGCAGCAGCACCAGCAGCACCGGCAGCACCGGCAGCAGCAGCATGAGGTGCAGATACCTCAGATGCATTCAGCATTACTCTACGCAAAGGGCTCTTTGCACAAGGGCTCCTGGAAAGAGGGCTGATTGCGCTAGGGCTTCTTAAGTGTGGACTGCAAACACTAGGGCTCCTTAAGTGTGGGCTGCTAATACCAGGGCTCATTGCACCAGGACTCCTTAAGTGCGGACTGCTAAGTCCAGGGCTCAATGCGCTAGGACTCCTTAAGTGGGGGCTCTTAAGTGAAAAACTTTTAGGAAAGCTGCTTCTAGCGGAAGGGCTCTTGGGAATGTTGCTACTAGTGATATAATTATACGAAGGGATTGTGACAAAAGCGCTTGAAACAGAAGGGCTTTTAACGAATTTGCTGTTAAGGGGACGCGTGGTTTGAGGGCTTTTCATGGGACTCCGAGGAAGCTCCGTCCATCTGACACCACTGCTCCTGCCAGCAGCAGCAGCAGCAGCAGCAGCAGCAGCAGCACCACCACCACAACCAGCATCGCCAGCAGCAGCAGCAGCAGCAGCAGCAGCAGCAGCAGCAGCAGCAGCAGCAGCGGCAGCAGTCTGCTTCTGGTCAACCCTTTGTGACTTGAACAGCCAATCTTCCACCCTCTTCTCTGCCTCCTCTCGACCACCTGCCCGACCCTCTTCTCTCCCACCCTCTCCTCCCCCCATGCTACCGCCTAGCTCCAATGAACCCCATCGACCTAGTCTCTCTAGCTGCCTATCTCGCTGCTTCCTCTCCCCCCACTCCCCTCCCTCTCCTTCCTTACCAACTCCCCTGTCCGCCTGACCCTCTTTCTCGCCCCGCCCAAAAACGCCACCATCCCCCATAAGAGACGCCCCCTTTCGAGGCGCCTCAAAAGCGTCCCCCTTAAGAGATGCCTCCCTGTAACGCTCAAGGCCAAACCCCACGTTCTGAGACTTCTCAAGACGCCCTAGACCAAATCCAGAACTCTCCGATTCTTCAAAATCCTCAAAATTACCACCCAGATTTAACCCAAATAGTGCAGAACTCTGCTCAGGACCAAAACTCGGATTGAATTGCAACTTGCCCGCTTTCTGTGCTTCCACATCCCACCCTCCCACATCCCATCCCCCCAAATCCCAGGATCCTCCCCTCCCCAGCGGCCCCCTGCCCCTAGCATCCAGCGACCTCTGCCTTCCAATCCTTCCCTTCTCTTTTTTCTTCTCTTTCTGAGGAGTCTCAAACCCCACTTCCTTCTTCTTCTTCTCCTTGAGAAGCGCGATTCTCGATTTCACTACCGGCTTCCCAAGAAAGTCAAACGAGTCAACGCCAGTCTTCCCAGCAGCAGCAGCAGCAGAGCCAGGAGCACCAGTACCAGCCAACGCATCCCCAGCAGCAGCAGCGGCACCACCAGGAGTTAATCCAGGTGCTTCAGGCCCTGAGAATTCAGACTCGGAGAATTCCAAGTCCCATGGCTGTGGCTTCAGAAACTCGGGAAACGACCGGCTACCTTGCCCCTCTAACCTTTGAGTTGACTTAAGAGTTGACTTAAGAGTTGACTCAAGAGTTGACTCAAACGACCGGCTACCTTGCCCCTCTAACCTTTGAGTTGACTTAAGAGTTGACTCAAGAGTTGACTCAAACGACCGGCTACCTTGCCCCTCAAACCCCCTTGTAACCAGCTCAGTTTTTCTGACCTGCCCCTCCCTCCCCTCCTGCCCCACCACCCACTCCCTCCCCTCCCTCCCCATCCTCCCTTCCTGTCCCTCCCTCCCATCCCTCTCCGCCCTCCACTCGTCCATCATTCCACGCATGTTTAGAGAAGCGTGCCTCACAGGGGGACGCAAGGCCGGGGCAGGGTTCGTTGCTCGTGCCATCATCCCCTCATGCTGCCACTCCCTCCCCTCCCTCCCCTCCCTCCCCTCCCTCCCCTCCCTCCCCTCCCTCCCCTCCCTCCCCTCCCTCCCCTCCCTCCCCTCCCTCCCCTCCCTCCCCTCCCTCCCCTCCCTCCCCTCCCTCCCCTCCCTCCCCTCCCTCCCCTCCCTCCCCTCCCTCCCCTCCCTCCCCTCCCTCCCCTCCCTCCCCTCCCTCCCCTCCCTCCCCTCCCTCCCCTCCCTCCCCTCCCTCCCCTCCCTCCCCTCCCTCCACTCGTCCACCGCTCGCCGCATGTCAAGAGAGGCATGCCTAACAGGGGGGCGCAAAGCCTTGGAAGGACGGTGTTTACATGCTGTCATCCTCTCGTGTTCCCTTTCCCTAACCTCCCTCTTATCCTTCCCCTCCTGCCCCGCCCTCCACTCATCCACTGCATGTCTCAGATTCAACGAGGCATGCCTCACAGGGGGTCGTATGGGCTTGCTACTGCCAGCGCTGCTGCCAGCCTTGCTCTCAGTCTTGCTCCCACTCTTGCCTTCAGCCTTGCTGAGAATCTTGCTGCCACTCCATTCCCTCCCTTCCCTCCCATCCGTCCCCTCCTGCCCCGCCCTCCACTCATCCACTGCATGTCTCAGATTCAACGAGGCATGCCTCACAGGTGGACGTAAGGGCCTGCTGCTACTGCCACTGCTGCTCCCAGCCTTGCTTTCACTCTTGCTCCCATTCTTGCCGTCTGCCTTGCTGCCACTCCCTTCCCTCCCTTCTCTCGCACTCTTCCCCTCCTGCCCCTCCCTCCATTCATCCACAGCATGTCTCAGATTCAGAGAGGCATGCCTCACAGGGGGACGCAAGGGCCTGCTATTTCCAGTGCTGCTCCCACTCTTGCTCTCTGCCTTGCTGCCATTCCCTTCCCTCCCTTCCCTCCCTTCCCTCCCATCCCTCCCCTCCGTCCCCTCCTGCCCCTCCCTCCACTCGTCCACAGCATGTCTCAGATTCAGAGAGGCATGCCTCACAGGGGGGCGCAGGGGCCTGCTGCTACTGCCAGATCTGCTACCAGTCTTACTGCCACTCTTGCTGCTGGCAAGGATGCTTGGAGCTGCATTTCCCAGTGAATTACAAGGCGAAGCTGCCCGGAAGCTTCGTTGAGAAGCCTCAGGAAGAGAAGCTGTCTGGCAGCATTGTAGAGGTGCCTCACGGAAAGAAGAAGCTGCCTGGAAGCTTCGGTCATAACTTATGGCGCCCTCACCCACTCCTCCTCCTCCCCCTCCTCCTCCTCCTCTCCCTCCTCTCCCTCCTCTCTCTCCCACAACACTATCCCCTCCATTCGTTACAGTCACCTCCCTCTTCAGCCCCTCCAATTCAAATGATACACCCCTCCCTTCTCCCTCCCTCGCTTTAATCACACCACCATCCCCTCCCTCTCTCGTTTTAGTCACACCACCTTCCCCTCCCTCCCCAGGCCGACCCACCACAAGGTTTTTCCCTGTCCACTCCTCCCAACCGATTCTCCCAAACACCCCTTCGTTGTTCAAATCCAAAGATAGCTGCCTAGCAGCCATCAAACGCCCGGGCTGCCTGCGTCTCCCAGAACCCATCCCTGCTCCCTTTGTACCGCTTCCCACTCCTCCCTTCTCTCCTGCTCCTTCCCCTGCGCGTGTTGCTGCTGCTCCTGTGGCTGAAGCTGTGCCTGGTGGTAGCATTGGCTTTGCTGCTCCCGCTGCTCCTCCTGCTCCTGCCCCTGCTCGCGCTCCTGCCCCTGCTCCTGCTCCTGCTCCTGCTCCTGCTGCTCCTGCTGCTCCTGTTCCTGCTCCTGCTCTTCCTACTCCTGCTGCTTCTGCTCCTGCTCCTGCTCCTGCTCCTGCTCCTGCTCCTGCTCCTGCTCCTGCTCCTGCTCCTGCTGCTGCTGCTGCTGCTGCTGCTGCTGCTGCTGCTGCTGCTGCTGCTGCTGATGCTGCTGCTGCTGCTGCTGCTGCTGCTGCTGCTGCTGCTGCTGCTGCTGCTGCTGCTGCTGCTGCTGCTGCTGCTGCTGCTGCTGCTGCTGCTGCTGCTGCGTCTGCCCTAGCCACTACCCAAGGGTTACCACCCAAAGCACCCCGCGACGCGCTGGGTGACATTGGAGGTTTGCTCGGAAACCCATGCGTGCGCGAGCGGGAGAAATGGGGAGAACACGCAGAACCGGAAAGCCCTGGGAAGCTGCTAGAGTGAGGGCTGTAAGCAACAGAGCCGGAGAGAGAGCGAGCATGCCGGCTCCTTACAGGCCGTTTTGCTCCTGTTGACCCGCCTTGATTCGCTTGACTCGCTTGAATTGCTTGACTGGCTTGACAGGGGGGGTAATAGTCTGTAGCAGATAACCCGGGGAGACTGGGGGCCTGTTGGTCTATACCTGCAGCAGCAACAGGGGGAGGAGTTGGTGGGGACAGGTGAGCTGTCGGGCTGTAGCCAGGGCTGTAGCGCGGGCTGTAGCGCGGGCTGTAGGCTACAGTACCTGAGAACGAGCGGGCATGCCGGCCCCCTATAGGACGCCGTACCGCTGTGGGTATGGATGGATTGGAGGCAGCAGCAGCAGTGGCAGGAGCAGGAGGAGCGGCAGGGGCGGTAGGAGGAATAGCAGCAGTAGCGGCATGAGATGGTGGGGATAGGTGTGCTGTCGGGCTGTAGCGAGGGCTGTAAGCAACAGTGCCTGAGAAGGAGCGGGCATGCCGGCCCGCTATAGGTCTTCTTACTCCCGTTGACCCTGGTTGACCGGGTTGACTGGATTGACTGGGGGACTGCTGGTCTAAACCAATGGGTGGGGCGAGAGAGGGTGGGGATAGGCGTGCGGGAATTGAATGAGCTTGAGTGCGAGTGTGTGAGGGAGTGTGACTGTGAGTGTGGAAATGACTTTGATCGTGGGTGTGGGAGTGAGAGTGAGTGTGGTCGTGGGTGTGGGAATGACCACGAGTGTGGGAGGGAAAGGGAGGGTGGGTCTGGGCTAGTGAGGGGGGGCGATTGTGGGAGCGAGTGTGGGAAAGAGTGTGGGAGAGAGTGTAGGAGAGAGTGTGGGAGCGGGTGTGGGAGCGAGTGCGCAGGAAGAGGGAGGCATCGGAGGAGGACGATTCGTAGTCTGATGATGGTGGGGACTCGAAATACGCCCCTGTGCTTCCACCCGCAGCAGAGGCAGAGGCAGCAGCAACAGTGGCAGCAGTGGATGCAGCAGCAGAGGCAGCACTACCAGCAGCAAAGGAGGAAGACTCGTAGTCTGATGAAGGGGGGGATTCAAAATATGCCCCTGCGTTTCCACCAGCTACAGAGGCAGCAGCAGAAGTAGCAGAGACAGCACCAGCAGCAGCAGAAGAGGCAGAACCAGAAGCAGTAGAAGAGGCAACAGCAGCAGCAGCATTAGCAGCACCACCAGCAGCAGAAGCAGCAGAGACAGCACCAACAGCAGCATTGGCAGCACAAGCAGCAGCAGCAGCAGATACCCCCTTCTCTGGAGCCTCCCCTCCATCCTTCTCCCCAACCTCTCCTCCACCCTTCTCCCCATCCCCAACCAGCCCCAAACCATCGATCCCCAGCAAACCCACGCCCAGAGAAATGCTCGCATTTCCATTTCCAGCCAACCCTCTCTCAATCCTCTCCACCCCTGCACAAACCTCCAGCACCCCTTTCCACTCCTCCGCACCCCACTTGCTACTCTTGCCCAAGTCCAGAGATAACTGCCTGCCACTGGCAAGGCGGGAAGGCGGCTGTAGCTCGGCTGTAGCAGCAGCTGCTGCAGCCGAGTTTTGGAACGGCTGGTAAAGCGGTTGCAGCGTGGCGGCTGTAGCAGCAGCCGCCACAGACGAGGTTTGAAACGCCTGGTAAAGCGGTTGTAGCATGGCTGTAGCGGCAGCTGCGGTAGACGAGGTTTGGGACGGTTGGGAACCCGGCTGTAGCACGGCTGTAGCAGCAGGCGCTGCAGACGAGGTTTGGGACGGTTGGGAACCCGGCTGTAGCACGGCTGACACTGCAGCAGTTACAGCTGGGTTCTTCTGCGTCGTCTCAGAACGTGAGTGTAGCGCGGATGAAGCAGCAGCAGCAGCAGCAGGTGCAGCACCAGCAGCAGCAGCAACGGGCGTTGTAGCAGCATCCTTAGCAGCAGCAGCAGTTACAGCTGGGTTCTTCTGAGTCGTCTCAGAATGTGGTAGCACGGATGAAGCAGCAGCAGCACCAATCGCACCACCACCGCCGCTACCATCACTGTTTGTTTGGGCTTTAAAGGCAGCTGCACCCGAGCCTGCAAGAGTAGCAGCAGCAGCACTGGCACCACTACTATTTCCGTTTGATTGGGAATTAACGCCTGTGGCAGCTGCACGGGTGGCGGGTGCACGGGTGGCAGCAGGTGCGCACGCTTTAATGCCAAGCGAGCGGGCATGGGCACCTGCCTCGCGGGCTTGGGAGCGGGCGAGGGAGCGTGCATGGGAGCGGGACTGCAGGAAGAGAGAGGCGTCAGAGGAGGAGGTGTCGTAGTCTGATGAAGGCGGGGACTCAAAATCCCGCCACTGCTGCTGCTGTTTCTGTAGCTGCTGCTGCTGCTGCTGTGGCCGCGCGGTCGGTGCTGGTATGCACCTAGAAGCAGCAGCAGCAGCAGCACGATCACCCATGGCATCAACCCAGGCGATAGGCTGTAGTACCTTCCCTTTCTCCTGCTCTTTCTCACGCCCCAGCACCTGCCCCTGTCCCTGCCTGTTCTCCTGCCCTCCCTCGTGCCCCTGCCTTTCCCCTTGCCCCTGTCCCTGCCCCTGTCCCTGCCCCTGTCCCTGCCACTGCCCAAGCGCCTGACCTCCCAACCCCCCATCTCTCCTCCCTATACCCAGAGAAATCAGCATGTGTCGAAACCTTTCCACCTGCTTCTCCCGCTCATCCCTCTCCTCCTGCGCCTCCCGCTCCTCCCGTTGCTCCCGCTCCCCCTGTTCTTCCCACTTCTCCTGCTTCTCCTGCTCCTCATATTCCGATCTAGACGAGCCTGATAGTGGAAGGTTTGATAAACGGTCTGATAGGCGGTCTGATAGGCGGTCTGATAGGCGGTCTGATAGGCGGTCTGATAGGCGGTCCGATAGGCGGTCTGATAGGCGGTCCGATAGGCGGTCTGACAGGCGGTCCGATAGGCGGTCTGATAGGCGGTCTGATAGGCGGTCCGATAGGCGGTCTGATAGGCGGTCCGATAGGCGGTCTGACAGGCGGTCCGATAGGCGACCAGATGTGTGGTCTGATGTCCCTGAGGAGAACCCCCCTCCGTCTTGCCACAACTGTTTGCTTTGACTCTCAGGTTCCTCCACACCCAATCCTGAAAGACCCGACGGTGCTTTCTCTTGATGCTGACGTGGCGAATGCAGATAAGGCGAGTGCTGACGTGGCGAGCGATGATACAATGGCTGCTGATTGCTCTGTGAAAAACGGTTTCTCTCCCGTCCAGCAGATAAGCCGCCCCAGGCTGCTCCCTCCCTTTCACTTGCCCCGCTCGTTTCTGATTGGCTGCCCCCTCTCCCCTCTGATTGGCTAGATTCTCTCGCCTCCGATTGGTCCAGCGTTCTGGCTACTACGCCCCCTTCCTGTCCCCTTCCAACAGGTATGGCAGCAGCAGGCACGGCACCGCCACTCTGTGGTGGAGCACTCAATAACGGGACACTTGATCCTGGAGCAGCAAGAAACGCAGCACTCAGTAACGGGGATTCCCCTCTTGGCCCGGGGGAGCGAGGGGGGAGCATAGACCTCCATGAAAACCCACCCATACCAAACCCTGTTACAGCAAAACCCCCACCCCCACCTCCCTCTCTCGCTCCTCCTCCTCGCCCTCCTTTACCCCCCTCTTCCTCCCCCCACCCTCCCATACCTCCTACGCTCCAGTCACCCTTAAAGTCTAGAGACGCTTTCCTGACTCTTAATCGGCGAGTCGGCTTGACTCTGCCGCTTCCTGCTGCTGCTGCTGTCGTCATTGGTAGCGTTGCTGACATGGCGGAGAACTCCGCTGCGGCTGACGTGGCCGATGACGAGGACAGAGAGGGTGGTGACGTCAGGAAAGTTGAGGATGACGTGGATGTTGAGAAGTCTGTTCCTCCTGCAGCTGCTCCCCCTGCTCCTCCTTCTCCTCCTCTTCCTCCCCCGCCTCTCCTCCCTCTTCGCCTGCCGTCCTGTGCTGCTGAAACAGTGGCTTCACTATAAGCGGCACCTCCTGCCAAACCAGCATCTCTCGTTATAAGAACTCCTCCTGTAGAAGCTCCCTCTAAAGCCCATTCACTCACTCCACTCTTCTCAAAATCGTTCCCTGAGACGTCCAGACCTAATCCCATTCCCATCCCCATCCCCATCGATATCCCCATCCCCGTCCCCATCCCCATTCCCAGGCCCGTTCCCCCCATGTCCGTCCCCTCGCCCAACCCTGTTCGCCACCTATAACTAGCATCCAGCGATATTCCCCGCGCCAACGGACGCGACACGGCCCTCTCTCCAAAGTTAATACTCTCTGCCACAATTGCAGGGTCCTTTCCTGCATAAGCCTTCTCTCCGGCGGGCACGGTCGCCTGGCATGAGTGTTCAGCTGCTCTCGCGAATCCCACAACAGCGGCATCATCAGCCACATCAGCATCAGCAGCAGCCACGTCAGCAGCAGCGTCGTGAAGGATCGCGGAATCTAGGGCTTGCATGAACGCCTGACATCGGACGGCGCTCAGCTGTCGCTGAATGTCCAAAATCTGCAGCTTTCCTTCCAACGTCTCGATTTCCATCTCGGGCAATCCTAACCGTCCGCTGTGTCGCCTGCTGAGAGAGGCTTGGCCCGGCGATCTTAGGCTCGGAGAGGCTCCTAGCGGCGAGGCTCGGAATAATGAGGCCCGGAGTGGTGAATGTAGGCGCGGTGAAGCAAGAGGGAAGGCGAGGCTCGGGAACCCTGCTCGAGGGGAATCTTGTGGTGGGGATGCCATGCCTGGCTAGGCTCGGCATGGTGTGCCTCGGCAATGTCTCGAGTGGAATGCTTCACCCAAGGAGTAACGTGACGTGGAACAGATAGCAAATGCACTACAGAGAAGGCTTTATTCAGGACAGGACTAAATGGCAGAATGCTGTAAGCAGCAATAGACTACATAAATAACATTATTATCCGAAGAGGTACGCACTATTGAAGTCAATGCGGTGCGGCGCGGTTGGTCTTATTTTATGACTATGGACGACGAAATAAATGGCATTCAGCGACGGTCCTATCAACAGTGACTGCTAGTGCTAACTACCCATTGGTTCTGTGTGTCGTTTTGGTTTTGAGGATCGTTTTCAAGTCTGTTTTCTGTGACTCCATGACTGTGTGACTCTCTGACTCACTCAGTTTGGTTCTGTGCATCATTCTGAGTCTCTGTCGTTTTCTGAAAGGAAAGTTGGCAGTGAATCAGTGATGCTTGCGGTGGTGCTGGCGGTCCAGCCTATCATACGCCATAAAAGACGATTTGCTTCGATAATCGTCATGTAATCCACTCTTGGCATTCTCGATGTCAACAAATTACATGACAAATTGCTTATAATTCTTCCCGAAGTGCTCAAATTATATTGGTACAGTCACTCTACAAATCTACCACGACAGAGCTGTTACCAAGCTGAAGCGTTTTTCCAAGTTTAGCTCAGGTACTGAGAGATTGGAAGGGGTGTCTTCTCGAGACTGTCAGTGTGGCTTGGGGTCGGAGTGCGCGCTGTGAATCCTGATGCGCCAAAGCAGAAGTCAACAAGTACAAGAACTGGTAAAAAAAATCTTTCAGAACATGCCCTGAGACTCTTTCTTATCCCTAACCTACCACCAGCCCACTCTCATTTGTCCGCCATCAAATATTTCACAGTCTTGTCACATGGCCATCCTAGCACAACCTTACTCTTCACGTGCGTAAAACTGTTATTCCTGGATTTAAAAATCCAGATTTTATTTCTATTTTGATATTCTGTCAACTGTTATTCCAAAGTACTATCGAGGGAGGTCCGTTATTCTCAACGCAACCATGGCGAGCCGATCATCGGCCAACAACCCGGATCCCAACGATCCGACCTCCCCAACTGCCACGTCATCATACTCCACAGCATCTAAGGACGTCTATAGGCGACACGGTGTCACGAGCCCCCCTTTAGACCCGAAGCTTCCTACGTCCATCCCTCCCGGATCCTCCCTCTCTCCCTCCCTCCTCCCAACCTCTCCGAACCTCATTCCTTCCGAGCGTCACTTACGATCCCCTCAGCAAGCGAACCTGTCGGTTAGGTCCGGAAGCCGGCTCCAGAGCCAATATCGCCCGAGGCCGCAGCCGCCAGGTTCGGCACAAGTGGACCTGTCTTTCCGAGCCTTGGTGGCTCGGCATCAGTACCTGCTAACGACAATGGCGATTCTAGCCGTTCTGTGTACGATTTACCTGTATTTCGCAATTTCCATGGATGACGGAGAAAGCTCCAAATGCGGGGGACTGAGAGGGAAAGCGCTAGCGGATTGCAGATTGATGCTGCAGGTGCATAAGAAAGCGGCTGACGTTAATTCGGGAGAGGATGGAAGAGGTAGGGTTGGGAGAGCTGGTGGTGGTAATGCTCGTGCCAAGGGTAGAGGACGTAAGGATTCTAGAAATCTTGGTTCCCCTGCGGATGGTGAAGCTGATGGTGATGGTGATGCTGATGATGATGTTGGTGATGGTAGCTCAGGGGATGGTGGTAGCTTTGGAGGAGGGAGAAAGGAAAAAGTGGTGTATGAAGTGGGTGAGTGACAGCATTACTACATTTGTCATAATGTTGTAATGATTAGCAATCAATTGCTTCATGTAGTATGTGCAATTTAACATTATTGAATGAAATGTCAAGAGAACACTTTGTTGCACCGCACAGAATCCTACATGAGCTAGGATGCCTCAATGAGACAACCGCAACAACCTGCTCACCTCTCCTGTGTACCACTGGGTAAATGGAATTTCTGGAAGGAATCTCTGGAAGATACGTAAAGAGGAGACTATCTAGAGATGCTTATTTCAGAACTACTCTAAACCTGAATATACTTTTCAGGGGAAACTACACCCAGAAATGACCCCTCCTGCCCAGGATAGCAAGCACACTGGCTGCTGCACTCCATTGAAAAGCAAAAGAAATTTTGTCTGTACCAATCCATGACTGCTAACCGTCGAGAGTCAAAACAACTACTACCACGTGTCTTGGATTGGATGGACTAGGTAGGCATATCTTTCGGCCTTGTTCAGCTCAGCAGCCTTGCCCGCCCCATCCTCCTTCACTAATCCGTACTCAGATTGCAGTACGGTAAGTTTGTGAGCTTCGAAAGCTCCCGAGTCAAAACGACTCAAAAGTCACGTAGTAAGCTTTGTAAGCTCCGGTTTTGAGGCACCTGGAAAGCCGTGAACAAAAGCCCGCGACTACTCGTTGAACGAGAGAACAATAAACGTGTCTTGGATCGACCACTCGCGTTTCTCGGCCTTGTCAGGCGGGTTCAGAACTGCCTCGTCCTCTGTGAAGAGCCGGTATCCAATGATGATCTCCATGCGCTGGCGGGCCCTCACTGCCACTTCAAAGAACGACAGCTCCTCTCCGTCTGTCAGGTAGAGCTCGGCTGGGCGAATGTACATTTCGTTGCCCTGCGGGGGAAGGGGGAGGGAGGGGTGCAGAGGGGTGTTGAGGGGTACTGAGGTGCGACGGAACGACAGCTCCTCGCCATCTGTGAGGTAGAGCTCTGCTGGGCGGATGTACATCTCGCTGCCCTGGAGGGGAGACGGCATGGATAGGACAGCCTCTCCCAGTCCTCCCGCTCTTCCCTACCCCTCCCTTCCCCCCCCCCCCCCCCCCCCCCCCCCCCCCCCCCCCCCCCTCCTCTTCTCAACATACCCCTTCTGAAAAGAGCTCCTCCAAAACACAGTTCACCTCCCTGTCTTCTGCCACCTGCCCTCCCGTAAACCACGCCTTCCCCCACCATGTAGAACAACCCCTTGCTCCCCCCACTCTCCTCAACGCACCTCTTCTGAAAACAGCTCTTCCAAAACGCGGTTGACCTCCCTGTCCTCCGCCACCTGTTGGGATGTGATAATAACGAGGGGTGGGGCCGAGAGGGGAGGGATCACACAAGAATAAGAAACTCCATGCAAAGGAGGGAACGGAACAGAACTGATCTCCCTGCATTTGTTACTGAGCACGTAGTCGCTGATTTTGGAGACAGTCACGAAGGACCGCGTGCGCGAGTCAAGGAGTGGAGGAGTGGAGGAGCAAGGGAGCAAGGGAGCAAGGGAGAATCTCACCATTGCCAGAGCCATGGACACGAGCTCATTGGATAGCACGTAGTCGCTGATTTTGGAGACAGAGACCAGGGAGTGCGCGCATGAGGGGTGCAAATGGAAGATGGAGTGCGTGCAGGGAAGAGTGCACGTACCATTGCCAGTGCCATGGAGACGAGCTCGTTGGACAGCACGTAATCGCTGATCTTGGACATTGAGACAAGGGAGCGCATGCGGACCCATAAACACCAGAGCGCGTGCAGAGAAGAGTGCACGTACCATCGCCAGGGCCATGGAGACGAGCTCATTGGATAGCACGTAATCGCAGATTTTCGACACCGAGACGAGGGAGCGCGTGCGCGAGTCGAGGATCTCAGAGATGACGATGGACTGCTGCGAGGAGCCAGGGGGTGCCTTACCAACGCCAGAGCAAAGGGATGCCTTACAACAGTCAATCAACCCTGTTGCACGTACCATTGCCAGAGCCATGGACACGAGCTCGTTGGATAGCACGTAGTCACTGATCTTGGAGACGGAGACGAGGGAGCGCGTGCGCGAGTCAACTCAACTCAAGGGGTGGTGGATGAACAAGTGAGTGTCTTACCATTGCTAGCGCCATAGAGACCAGCTCATTACTGAGAACATAGTCGCTGATTTTAGACACCGAAACAAGGGAGCGCGTGCGCGAGTCGAGGATCTCCGAGATGACGATGGACTGCTGCGACGCCTGCTGCATCTGCCCCACCCACGAGGACGTGGAGGTCGGGCGCGGGTAGGTTATGCTCGAGTTGCTGCGGCGGTGGCCCTTGCTGCCCGCCGGCATGCGCTTGGACTGACGGAGGTGGGGGAGGAGGGGAGGGAAGGAGGGGATGGGGGAGGAGGGAGGAGGAGGGGGGGTAGGAGACGGAGAGGGGGTGGGAGAAGGAGGAGGGGGAATAGGGCAGAGGGAAGAATGGAGGGGTGGGGTGTGGGGGATGAGATGACGAGGGAGCGCAAGTCGCAGTCGATGATGGGAACAGCACCAACCGACCTTCCCCAGATAGCACCTACACTCCCACCCAAATTGCGGGAAGCACCCACCTCCCCCACGTGGCACCCACCTGGATGTCTCTGATGAGCAGCAGCGTGGCGAGGGAGCTCAGAGCTCACAGAAGCTGGATACCCACCTGTACCCCTCCCCACCTCACATCACCCCCCCCGCTCCACCACCTCCCACCACGCCGCACCCACCTGGATGTCTCTGATGAGCAGCAGCGCGGCGAGGGGGCTCAAAGAATCTGGCATGCACGTGAATAATCTAGTCTGCCTTGAACAGATAGTACCTACCCCACATAGAACTTGCACCACCTCAACGTCTCTGATGAGCAGCAGCGTGGCGAGGGAGCTCACACAAGCTGGTATGCATGTGATACATTCTTCCTATCTCACAGAAAGCACCTCCCCCAGGAAACACCCACCTGGATGTCTCTGATGAGCAGCAGCGTGGCGAGGGAGCGCGAGTCGCAGTTGATAATCGAGTCCTCCAAGCCCTCGTCCGCGAGGATGAGGATCTGATTGGGGGGAAGGGGGGAGGGGAGAGGAGAGTGAGAATGGAGAAGAGGCGATGGGGTTAAGAGCAGGGCAGTGGGGTGCACGAGTCGCAGTTGATGATTGAGTCCTCCAGGCCCTCGTCTGCTAGAACGAGGATCTGGGGTGGGGGGGAGAGTGGGAGCGGGAGTCAGACGTACGGGAGGGGCAATAAGAGCAGGGGGAGGGATAGAAGAGAGTGAGTCGCAGTTGATGATTGAGTCCTCCAAGCCCTCGTCCGCGAGGATGAGGATCTGATTGGGGGGAAGGGGGGAGGGGAGAGGAGAGTGAGAATGGAGAAGAGGCGATGGGGTTAAGAGCAGGGCAGTGGGGTGCACGAGTCGCAGTTGATGATTGAGTCCTCCAGGCCCTCGTCTGCTAGAACGAGGATCTGGGGTGGGGGGGAGAGTGGGAGCGGGAGTCAGACGTACGGGAGGGGCAATAAGAGCAGGGGGAGGGATAGAAGAGAGTGAGTCGCAGTTGATGATTGAGTCCTCCAAGCCCTCGTCCGCGAGGATGAGGATCTGATTGGGGGGAAGGGGGGAGGGGAGAGGAGAGTGAGAATGGAGAAGAGGCGATGGGGTTAAGAGCAGGGCAGTGGGGTGCACGAGTCGCAGTTGATGATTGAGTCCTCCAGGCCCTCGTCTGCTAGAACGAGGATCTGGGGTGGGGGGGAGAGTGGGAGCGGGAGTCAGACGTACGGGAGGGGCAATAAGAGCAGGGGGAGGGATAGAAGAGAGTGAGTCGCAGTTGATGATTGAGTCCTCCAAGCCCTCGTCCGCGAGGATGAGGATCTGATTGGGGGGAAGGGGGGAGGGGAGAGGAGAGTGAGAATGGAGAAGAGGCGATGGGGTTAAGAGCAGGGCAGTGGGGTGCACGAGTCGCAGTTGATGATTGAGTCCTCCAGGCCCTCGTCTGCTAGAACGAGGATCTGGGGTGGGGGGGAGAGTGGGAGCGGGAGTCAGACGTACGGGAGGGGCAATAAGAGCAGGGGGAGGGATAGAAGAGAGTGAGTCGCAGTTGATGATTGAGTCCTCCAAGCCCTCGTCCGCGAGGATGAGGATCTGATTGGGGGGAAGGGGGGAGGGGAGAGGAGAGTGAGAATGGAGAAGAGGCGATGGGGTTAAGAGCAGGGCAGTGGGGTGCACGAGTCGCAGTTGATGATTGAGTCCTCCAGGCCCTCGTCTGCTAGAACGAGGATCTGGGGTGGGGGGGAGAGTGGGAGCGGGAGTCAGACGTACGGGAGGGGCAATAAGAGCAGGGGGAGGGATAGAAGAGAGTGAGTCGCAGTTGATGATTGAGTCCTCCAAGCCCTCGTCCGCGAGGATGAGGATCTGATTGGGGGGAAGGGGGGAGGGGAGAGGAGAGTGAGAATGGAGAAGAGGCGATGGGGTTAAGAGCAGGGCAGTGGGGTGCACGAGTCGCAGTTGATGATTGAGTCCTCCAGGCCCTCGTCTGCTAGAACGAGGATCTGGGGTGGGGGGGAGAGTGGGAGCGGGAGTCAGACGTACGGGAGGGGCAATAAGAGCAGGGGGAGGGATAGAAGAGAGTGAGTCGCAGTTGATGATTGAGTCCTCCAAGCCCTCGTCCGCGAGGATGAGGATCTGATTGGGGGGAAGGGGGGAGGGGAGAGGAGAGTGAGAATGGAGAAGAGGCGATGGGGTTAAGAGCAGGGCAGTGGGGTGCACGAGTCGCAGTTGATGATTGAGTCCTCCAGGCCCTCGTCTGCTAGAACGAGGATCTGGGGTGGGGGGGAGAGTGGGAGCGGGAGTCAGACGTACGGGAGGGGCAATAAGAGCAGGGGGAGGGATAGAAGAGAGTGAGTCGCAGTTGATGATTGAGTCCTCCAAGCCCTCGTCCGCGAGGATGAGGATCTGATTGGGGGGAAGCGGGGAGGGGAGAGGAGAGTGAGAATGGAGAAGAGGCGATGGGGTTAAGAGCAGGGCAGTGGGGTGCACGAGTCGCAGTTGATGATTGAGTCCTCCAGGCCCTCGTCTGCTAGAACGAGGATCTGGGGTGGGGGGGAGAGTGGGAGCGGGAGTCAGACGTACGGGAGGGGCAATAAGAGCAGGGGGGGGGATAGAAGAGAGTGAGTCGCAGTTGATGATTGAGTCCTCCAAGCCCTCGTCCGCTAGAATGAGGATCTGAGGGGGAGGGGGAAGGAGGTAGGGAGGGGAGAGTGGGGTGAGCACGCAGTAACAGTGCTCCAAGGGAGCACGAGTCATAGTTGATGATGGAGTCTTCTAACTCCTCGTCCGCTAGAAGGAGGATCTGGGAGGAAGGGGGGAGGGGAAAGGGGAGGGGCAACATGAGCAGGTTGAGGGAGGGAGAGCACAAGTTGCAGTTGACGAGGGGCAATAGGGGCAACTGTAACGAGGTGACTTTTGAGTCGACTCAAAACGAGGCGACTTTTGAGTCCACTCAAAAGCGGACTCAAAAGTCACCTAGGGAGGGAGAGCACAAGTTGCAGTTGACGAGGGGCAATAGATGCACTGCACGCGAGTCACATGTCGCCAGCTCGCTCGGAGATAGGGCAAGTAGATAGCCCCCTCACCAGGTCACCGAGACAGCCCTTTGCCTCCTCACCCACCGAGTCAAATGTCTCTAGGGGCAGGAACTCCAGATGGCGCCTGATGACAGCGTAGCGTTGCCCATGCGGTGCACGAGCGTCACGTTCTCCAGCTCGCCGAGAATAGGGGAAGTAGGTAGCTCCCTCACCAGGTCAGGTCCTCATAAGCCTTGATACTCACAGAGTCAAAGGTTTCGAGGGGCAGGAACTCAAGATGGCGCCTGATGACAGCGTGGCCCATGCGGTGCACGAGCGTCACGTTCTCCAGCTCGCTGGAATTCAGCCCGCCCTCTATGAGCCTCAATCACACGCCAAGACCCTGAGGGTGACTCTGTCTATCAGAACCCACAAGAGCCCTCACCGAGTCGAAGGTCTCCAGAGGGAGGAATTCGAGGTGCCTGCGGATAACGGCGTTCCCCATGCGGTGCACGAGCGTCACGTTCTCCAGCTCGCTGGGGTTCAGATAGATGGAGAGCCCCCAGGACAGGTCACAAGCCTTGGTACTCACCGAGTCGAAGGTTTCGAGGGGCAGGAACTCGAGGTGCCTGCGGATAACGGCGTTGCCCATGCGGTGCACGAGCGTCACGTTCTCCAGCTCGCTGGGGTTCAGCCCGCCCTCTATGAGGCGCGCCTCTCGCTCCTCCACGGGCACGTCTGAGAAGATCCACAGCTCCGATCCCCGCGCTAAGAACGCCTCTAGCACCTGCAGGGGTGAAGGGAAATGGGGGATTGGGGTTGGGGGTTTCAGATTGTCGCAGGGCGAAAGGGGGTTCAGCCCGCCCTCTATGAGGCGCGCCTCCCTCTCCTCCACGGGCACGTCCGAAAAGATCCACAGCTCTGAGCCCCGCGCTAAGAAGGCCTCTAGCACCTGCACGAGGTAGGGTCAGGGCACAATATCGAAGGTGGAATTAGGGTTGAGACTGAAGAGAGGCGGGTTCAGGCAGGTTCAGCCCGGCCTCTATGAGGCGCGCCTCCCGCTACTGGCACGCCCGAGAAGATCCACAGCTCTGAGCCCCGGGCTAAGAACGCCTCTAGCACCTGCATGAGCACGGGAGGGGCACATGGATTACCGTAGAGCCAAAGGTTGTGGGTTAAGGTTGCAGCGAGCAAGGAGGGTTCAGCCCGCCCTCTATGTTGCGTGCCTCTCACTCCTCCACTGGAACGTCTAAAAAGATCCACAGCTCTGAGCCCTGGGCTAAAACGCCTCTAGCACCTGTATGCATGGGCAGAGTACAGGTTAGGGTTTCGGTTTCGAGGTTTTGGGTTTGAAGTTGCAGAGAGAGAGGAGGGTTCAGCCCGCCCTCTATGAGCCGCGCCTCCCGTTCCTCCACACGGGCACGTCTGAGAAGATCCACAGCCTGGATCCCCGCGCTAAGAACGCCTCCAGTACCTGCATACATGGGCAGGGTCAGAGAACAAGGCTTAAGCCGGATTAGAGTTAGCCACAGGGGAGAGGGCAAGGGAGTTCAGCCCGCCCTCAATGAGGCGCGCCTAGGGCGGGCTGAACTCCCCTGCCCTCTATGCTGCTGTAGGTTTTTTTTTAGAATTCTCAAAAACCGGCAAGGGAGTTCAGCCCGCCCTCAATGAGGCGCGCCTAGGGAAGATCCACACGAGGCACTGAACTCCCTTGCCCTCTCCCACACGAGCACGTTTGAGAAGATCCACAGCTCCGATCCTAAAAAGGCCTCTAGGGCGGAAACGGGCAGCCGGACGAGGGCGGGGGCGGTCGGATGGGACTAGGGTGTCCGGGGGGAGCAGGCACGGGAGTTGAGAGGGCATGGGGAGGGGCAGCAACGTGCCCCATTCTCCCTTTCCCCCCATCCGCCCACACCCTTCCCGCCCCCCACTGTCAATATGGCGCCCCCGCCCCACTCCCCCCCACATCTCCCCAACCCATCATCTCTCCCTCCTCCCCTCTCTTTCTCACCGTGATCATATCGTCAATATCGCGCCGCCAGCCGCAGAACAGGATTTTTTCGGGCAGCTTCGGCGGCGTTTCGATGTCGGGCAGCGGGGCGTCTTGCACCACGGGCAGCGGGCCGGGGGCATACGAGTCGTCATCCTCAGCGATCACAAGCACAGAGTCCTCAGGCTGCGGGGATGGGGGAGGGGGGCAGGGGCAGGGGAGGTGGGGAGTGGGGAGAAGGGGGCGGGAGGTGGGGGAGGTGGCTAGGTGTTGGGTGTGCTGGGGCCAGGGGCGTCATTCTCAGCAATCACAAGTACAGAGTCCTCAGGCTGCGGGGATGGGGGAGGGGCAGGGGGAGGGGGAGCGGACCAGGGTAAAGAAAGCACTTACCTGAAGCCCAAAGAGCACTCACCTGAAGCACCTGAAGCACCTGAAGCAGAGAGCACCTACCTGAGCTACCTGACGCACACGCAATCATCTGAGAAACAGGCAACATTCACCTGAAGCACAGAGACCACTCACCTGAAGCACAGAGACCACTCACCTGAAGCACAGAGACCACTCACCTGAAGCACAGAGACCACTCACCTGAAGCACAGAGACCACTCACCTGAAGCACAGAGACCACTCACCTGAAGCACAGAGACCACTCACCTGAAGCACAGAGACCACTCACCTGAAGCACAGAGACCACTCACCTGAAGCACATAGTCATCATCTGGATTAAGCCACAGGCGCGTATGCTCCCTATGCACCCTCTTCACGTCGCCCTCCTTTTGAGGCGCCTCAAAAGTCACACACACGTGAGACAGAAGCAGCACCCACCTGCAGCACATAGTCATCGTCCGGGTTGAGCCACAGCCGCGTGTGCTCCTTATGCACCCTCTTCACCTCGCCCTCCCGGGCCTTTTCACCCTCCTCCCTCAAAGCACTTGCCTAAAGTACCCGGAACACAAAAGAAAAGGAGCTCACCTGGAGCACATAGTCATCATCTGGGTTGAGCCACAGCCGTGTATGCTCCTTATGCACCCTCTTTACTTCGCCCTCCGCTCCTCCCTCCCCCTCCTCCCCTTCCTCCTCCTCATCCTCACTCCCACCGATACTGCTCCCGCCAGCAAACTCAAACCCCACCGCCTCCGTGCTCTTCTCATAGTACGTCCTCGCGGAAACCCTCAAACCGCACGGCACCGCATCAGGAAACGAGAGAAGAACCTCCCGGAAAGTCTTCCCGACGAGCTCGGGCCAGTGCTTGGTGTAGAACTCGCAGTTCTCGAAGCCGAGGAGGGTCTCCCAGATCTGGGCGAGGCCGGGCTGGCGGGCGCACTGAATCATGAGGCGGCCAATCACATCGTGAGCCACCACCGTTTCCACCATCCGTCCCCCCACCATCTGTAGGGTTAGGAGGAGTGGAACAGGGTTGGAAGGGGTGGGTTTGTGCACTGAGCACTGCCAAGCCGGGCTGGCGGGCGCACTGAATCATGAGGCGGCCGATCACGTCGTGAGCCACCACTATTTCCACCATGCTCCCCCCCACCATCTGTGCGCAGTTAGGGCGGAAGGGTGGAGGGCGCATGGGAGGGGAGGAGGAGAGCAGGAGAGAGATGGATCGGGGAGAGGAAGGAGCGGGTTTGTGCCCTGACTGGTTGAAGGAAAAGCAACGGTGCAGCACTGCCAAGCCGGGCTGGCGGGCGCACTGAATCATGAGCCGGCCGATCACGTCGTGCGCCCCCACCGTCTCCACCATGCGCCACCACTGTTTCCACCATGCGCCACCACTGTTTCCACCATGCGCCCCCACCGTCTCCACCATGCGCCCCCACCGTCTCCACCATGCGCCCCCACCACCTCTCCTCACCACTCTACACCTCTCCTCACTGCTATGTACCTCCTCTCACCGCACTACACCCCTCCTCACCTTCACCAGCTGCTGGTTGTCAATATCGCTCAGCTCCACCACAATGTGGCCCCGCAGCCCCTCCCTCACGCCCGTCAGGCTCAGCACCACCCTCAGCGCCCTGGCGTCTCTCCTACACCGCACTTCACCGCACTACACCTCCCGTCACCGCACTACATCCCTCCTCACCTTGACCAGCTGCTGGTTGTCAATATCGCTCAGCTCCACCACAATGTGGCCCCGCAGCCCCTCCCTCACGCCCGTCAGGCTCAGCACCACCCTCAGCGCCCTGGCGTCTGCAGCATCCGCGTTCTCTGCCTCAGCCAGAACAATGAGAGCCCGGGCTGTTGATACGGACACCTTCTTGAGATCGGCCAACACCAGGGGCGAGCCGGAGCTGCAGCAGCACGGCAGGCAGGAAATGGGAGATAAGGGGGAGAAGAAAGGGACGGTGTCAGGCTCAGCACCACCCTCAGCGTCCTGGCATCTGCACCATCCGCGTTCTCTGCCTCTGCCAACACGATCAAGGCTCGAGCTGTTGACACAGGCACCCTAATTTTAATCAGCCAACACTAGAGGGGATCCGGACCTGCAGCAGCACGGGGGGGAGGAAATGGGAGATACGAGGGTGAAGAAAGGGACCGAGTCACATCACAGTGTGGCCAATACACACATGCTTCACCACCCACCATTCCACCCAGCCCAGCAGCATTCAACATACCGGCAGATGATGATGGTGGTGCCGTGGAAGTCAAACTCCCCATCTTCTGAATCTCTCTCTCCATCTCACTGTTTCTCCGTTCTCATTCTCCTCAGTGCTCACTATGCAACCAATGCACCACAGGCACTCTTGTCTCACCGGCAGATGATGGTGGTGCCGTGGAAATTGAACTCCATCTTCTGAATCTCGCTCTCCATCTCCCCTGTTTCTCCGTTCTCCTTCTCCTCAGTGCTCACTACGCAACCAATGCACCACTATTAGCACTCTTGTCTCACCGGCAGATGACAGTGGTGCCGTGGAAATTGAACTCCATCTTCTGAATCTCGCTCTCCATCTCCTCCTTCTCCCTCTCGCTCATCACCACCACCACGCCCCCTCCCATGCTCTCATTCGCCACTGCCAGCTGCTTCAGCAGCGATGCCTGATGTGTGATGGGCATGGGCATCAATGGAAAGGAAAGGAGAGAGGGGAGGGGCAGGCAGGTTTGACATGACAACAGGGAGAAAGATACGGAATCATCACCACCACCACCACGCCTCCTCCCCTGATTTCGCTTGCCACTGCCAGCTGCTTCAGCAGCGATGCCTGGTATGTGATGGGCCATGGACAGAAAGCGAAAGTGGCAGAGAGCCATGATTGACAATCCTGTCCTGGCGACCAGGATCCAGAAACGGAGTGTTTTTAAGAATTCTCAAAAACACCCTAGATCCATGATTGACAGGGCGACCAGGATCCAGAAACGGAATCACCAGCATCCCAGCACCACCTCCACGCCTTGTTCAGGTTGCAGAGTGTTTTTGAGAATTCTCAAGAACTCTCTGCAGAAAGCGAAAGTGGCAGAGAGCCATGATTGACAATCCTGTCCTGGCGACCAGGATCCAGAAACGGAGTGTTTTTAAGAATTCTCAAAAACACCCTAGATCCATGATTGACAGGGCGACCAGGATCCAGAAACGGAATCACCAGCATCCCAGCACCACCTCCACGCCTTGTTCAGGTTGCAGAGTGTTTTTGAGAATTCTCAAGAACTCTCTGCAGAAAGCGAAAGTGGCAGAGAGCCATGATTGACAATCCTGGCGACCAGGATCCAGAAACGGAATCACCAGCATCCCAGCACCACCTCCACGCCTTGTTCAGGTTGGCTACTGCTAGCCACCCCATCCCCATCCCCATCCCCATCCCCATCCCCATCCCCATCCCCATCCCCATTCCCCTCCCCCTCCCCATCCCCATCCCCAACCCCAGCTTGGACGGAGATGGGAGGGAACCCACCAGCTTGTCGCTCCAGCCGAGGATGAGCGTGTGGTTCTTCTCAATCACCCCGCCGCACCCCTACCCAAACCATCCCCACCCATCCCCATCCCCAGAAACCCACCAGCTTGTCGCTCCAGCCGAGGATGAGCGTGTGGTTCTTCTCAATCACGTCGCTCTTGCCTTTCTTCAGCGAGTCCACCTTCTCCGAGATGCCCTCCGACACCAGCCCCACCATCAGCGCGAATATCAGCATCCCGCCAATGCTGATGCTCACGCCCACGCCCATGCCCATGCCCACGCCCATGCCCATGCCCATGCCCATGACCATGCTCCCTGCTCCGTACTCCCTGCTCCCTGCTCCCCTCCCCCCCCCCCCCCCCAGCAACCCACCAGCTTGTCACTCCAGCCGAGGATGAGCGCGTGGTTCTTCTCAAACACTCCACTGCACCCCATCCCCATGCCCATCCCCACCCATCCCCACCCCCAGGAACCCACCAGCTTGTCGCTCCAGCCGAGGATGAGCGTGTGGTTCTTCTCAAACACGTCGCTCTTGCCTTTCCTCCTCCATCCCCCCTCTCCTTTCTCCCCATTCATTCCCCATGGTAAGAGCAGGCCTCACCCATCGGCATTCCCATCCCCCCTCTCTCCCACCCACAACCCACCAGCTTGTCGCTCCAGCCGAGGATGAGCGTGTGGTTCTTCTCAATCACGTCGCTCTTGCCTTTCTTCAGCGAGTCCACCTTCTCCGAGATGCCCTCCGACACCAGCCCCACCATCAGCGCGAATATCAGCATCCCGCCAATGCTGATGCTCACGCCCACGCCCACGCCCACGCCCACGCCCATGCCCATGCCCATGCCCATGCCCCCTGCTCCCTGCTCCCTGCTCCCTGCTCCCCTCCCCCCCCCCAGGAACCCACCAGCTTGTCGCTCCAGCCGAGGATGAGCGTGTGGTTCTTCTCAATCACGTCGCTCTTGCCTTTCTTCAGCGAGTCCACCTTCTCCGAGATGCCCTCCGACACCAGCCCCACCATCAGCGCGAATATCAGCATCCCGCCAATGCTGATGCTCACGCCCACGATTCTCGGCCCCACGCCCTCGCTGTCCGCGTGGTTGCCTGCGTCTGCCACGTAGGACCACGCCCGCCACGTGGCGTCGCCCAGATCCATCCGGTCTTTCGATCCGACGGCGTACAGGGCGAGGCCTCCCAGGGCGATGCTGGTGTGGGGATGGAGTGGGAAGAAAGGAAGGGGGAAGGAGAGGGGGTAGTGGGACGAAATTGGAGTGGATATCAGTTTCACTCAAATCTATCCGTTTATGTATATCATACGACGATTCCAGAGCATCGCCACGTGATAAAAGAAGTGTTTTGAAACGTCTCAAAACAATCGGAGTGGAACTGGGTTTCACTCAAATCTACCCGTTTCTGTATATCATACGACAATTCCAGGGCTTCGCACAAAGCCCAACAAGACCTCCCAAGGCCTCCTAGCACTCCAAAACCTCCAAGACATCCCAAACCCCCCAGCCAGCCTCCAATCCAACCATGCCCTCCAGCACCTCATGAGGTTTTTGGGGAGAACGGGACGCACTCTGCTGCCATGTCTGGCACGGTAAAGAAGCAAGCACTCACAGCAGCAGCGTGGCTGCGAGGAGAGCCGCGCCCTTGACCCAGGAGTGCATGGAGAAGAGCACATCGACCTTATACGCCAGCCGCTTGCTCATCGACACCTCCTCGTCCGCCCCAGGCGCCGCTGAAGGAGCCGCACCAGCAGCAGCAGCAGCCGCCGCCGCAGCAGAGGCGGATGATGACGAGGAGGAAGAGGCAGCGGCGGCCGTATGGCCGTCTGTCGCCTTGGGGCGCCTTCCGAAGAGCTGAGCCACTTCATCAATATTCCGGATGATGAAGATGGGGAGGACGAGGCAGAGGATTGATGCTAGGAGCGCCACCCTGCGCCAGAATAGCTCCTGATCCTCCTTCACCTCCTCCTCCTCCTCTTCCTCCTCCTTGGCCTTGTCCTTCGACTTCTCCTTGGTGCTCCTATGCTCTCGCTTGCTCTCCTCTCTCTCACTCTCCTCTCTCCACCCGATTCTGTCGTCTTCAGAGCTTTCTGTGGGGAAGGGGGGGCAGGTACCTTCCACTGCCCCATCTTCTCCTTCTACTTCGCATCTGCTGCTGCTGCTGCTGCTGCTGCTGCTGCTGCTGGGGGTGATCCCGCTGACGCCAGCAGGAACGTCATCTGACAGTTTGGAAGCAAGGCGCGAGTGCTTGCGCTGCAGTTCTGAGAGCCGAAGCTGGGGTGGGGACGGGGAGAGTGGGGGAAGTGGGAGTAGTGGGGGGGGGGAGGGAAGTGGGAGCGTGGTGAGTGTTTGCGATGCAGTTCTGAGAGCCGAAGCTGGGGTGGAGAGGAAGGAGGGAGGACAGGTGGGGGAAAAGGAAGGAAAACGGGGGAAGGAATTTGTGAGTGTTTGCGCTGTAGTCTGAGAGCTGGAGCTGGGGTTGGGGAGGTGGAAGAAAAGGGAGGGCGGAGGAGCGGGCGATAGGGCACGAACGTGTAAAGAGTTGCACTTTAGCTCCAAGAGTGGGAGCTCGGGGAAGGGCGGGGGCGGGTTAGCAGAGGAAGGGAGAAGAGGCGGGTGGGGGGGGGCAAGAACGTGTAAGAGATTGCACTGCAGTTTTGAGCGTAGGGAAATTCAGAATATGGATAAGAAACGAAGGACGGAAGGAGTAGCGGGAAGGGAGGGGAGCAGTTTTTGAGGCACCCCAGAAAGCACGTGCATGTTGTTTCAAGAGTTGCTCGAGAGAGGTTAAAGCACGCAGAACCATGTTCTGAATGATCACGCTTCAGATGTCGCCACCCCTTACCTCGAGAGATAGAGCTTGCTTGTACTGGTAGCCTCCCCAGCCTACTGCTGCTGTGCAGACGAGCAACATCTGCCGAGGAAGAAACGGGGGAGAGGAGGAGAGAGAAGGGTGGAAGGAGGAGAGCGGGGGTAGAAGGAAGGAAGCCGGGGTGGGGAAGGAGGAGAGCGGGGGTAGAAGGAAGGAAGCCGGGGTGGGGAAGGAGGGGAGCGGGGGTGAAGGGAAGAGAACGGGGGGGTGGGGGTGGGGGGGGTGGGGGGGGAGGGGGGGAAGGAGGGGAAGGGGGAGGGGAAGGGGGGGAGTGGAGGGGGGAGGTGAAGGGGGAGATGATGGGAAAAGGGATGGGGAGAGGGGGGGAGAGAGAGAAGGGAAGGACGAAAAAAGGGATCTGAGTCAAATCCATATGTGAGCTGGAGGAGTAACACGTGGCCTTGATCTTGTAACTCAAAAGAGCGCAGCTCATCTTGCACGTCTCCGCTTAAGAATGAGTTCCTCATTCCGATAACAAAGCAGCGCGTTGGACGAGCCTTTGCTCGGCGCGCAGCAACGTTCTGCATCTGGTACTCATGCATGATCCCATCCCATCCTAGTGCATTTTGAGCGGACGAGTTTCTTTACTAACCAGGAACAGCACGGTGCCGCCGATTCCCTTCTTGCTGTTGCTGGAAGCCTCTGCTCGGCGCGCAGCAGCGTTCTGCATCTGGTACTCATGCATGATCCCATCCACCTGCCGAGGCCTAGCCGGCGAAGCTCCCCGCTTGACGCTCTTCGCGCTTCTAAACCGGTCCTTGGCGCTTCCTTCCTTGAAGTTCGCTTCTGACCGCTCGTCATTGGCTTTGAATGCGGCCATGCGACCGCCGTTACCACTACCGTCGTATTCGTAACTCCGTCGCTCGGTGAGCCCGCCTTCGCTAGGCCTCTCCGCGGATTTCCCGCTGAACCGAGACGGAGGGGGAGGGGCCATCCGCAGGAGAGATCCTACTATCGCGTCCTGGCAGCCGTTGATGGAGGTTGTCGGGTGCCTAGGGAGACGATTTGCGACAGAGTTTCACGGCAAAAGCTCGCTGGAAGAGCGGGAAACAGCAGGAGTTCCCAGAGGTCTGGAATGGAAAAGAACCGAGACGCGAGGCGAGGAAACGACAGAGGAGAAGAGAGGCGGAGAGGGAGGAGGGGGAGGGGGGGAAGGGGTGTGGGGGAGGAAGGGAAGCGGGGGGTGGATATGAAGGAGGGGAAAATTGAAAATGTGGGTGAGTGTCTGTGGTTAAGAACTCGCGAAACTCGTGCAATGCAGGAGACGTAACTCGCGAAACTCGTGCAATGCAGGAGTCACGAAACTCGTGCAATGCAGGAGACGTGACTCGTGAAAACTTGTTCATCGTAGGAGATGTAACTCGTGAAACTCGTTTGCTGTAGGAGAGGTAACTCGTGAAACTAGTTCAATGTTGGAGATGTAACTTATGAATCTCGTTCAATCTAGGAGATCTAACTCGCAACGAACTGAGTTGAGAAGAAAGCCTGGGCTAGGTTCGGAAATCCGCCGACTTGTAAGACTGCGACAAGATAAGACTGCGACAAGATATGAAGTCGGTCAAAACTTACGAAGCCCTGACAGGACACGAATCTCTAGGTCAGGAGGATGAGCACAACGTAAATGTCTGAGCCGGAAAAAAACGGCGTAAGACTAAACCCCCATCATCGTATTTTGCATTCCATCGGTCATGCAATCCCACCAATCATGCAAGTCCGTCCAGTGACACCAAACCGCGAAATAGCATTTCCGCAAAAGTTCAAGAGTTAATTGGATTCGCCTGCAAATAAAACATGGACCTAAGTCTAATCCAAGCCACTACTAGCCGAGATTGAGCTACTAAACCACGAGATTCTCACCTGAAATGAGCTATCGCCTTGGATCCAAAATGATCCAGAAGGTTCCAGATACTGTCCACATGGCGATCTTGAAGTCGCAGAATCGGGTCAGCAGCATATCTAAATCGGATAGAGTGGTCTTAAGAGATGACGAGGAGTGAATTGCGGTGCCACGCACCGCAGGTACTAACGCTAATAAGACGCCATGCCTTCACATGGCACGTGAACCAGGTCTCGCTATCATTACGGTAACAAGCCTTGTTGAGTGGACTAAGAACCAAACCAACGAATAAGCTTCAACCCGGACGTTGAATTGAACTACACACCATTATGCAGCGACGATCAAGATGAAAGATACCCAGAAAAACACGCCGACTGCTAGGGATTAACTACGCCATGGAAATCACGCTTGTTCCTGACTGGCAATACAGCCACTTGCTCCACAAGATAACAGCCTCAGGCTATTAAAGCAGTCATGGAAAACAATAACTAAGAAGTCCCGAGATAAGTCATTTCTTGATCCAAACCCTCTCAACCGTTGTCTGTATACATACAGATACGTCAAAATACAGCTCAATCTCACTAAACCGCTCTACGTTTCGTCTTAGTTTTCGAGACCATTGACACTCAACAGGATGAAAGAAGATTCCGGCACTTCCAAGGACGCCACAGCCAATCGATGGCTGATCCAGGTCAACTGAACGAGAACCGTGACACTAACGAGGGTTCCGGAATCCCTGGAGAGAACGATGAGAGGATGGAGCACGTTGTGGGTCAGAAGGGATGGCGGGAGAGAGAGAGCTGTGCGTGTGGCGAATGGATGCGTGTAAGTGGGGGAAAGGAGGCGGTGGGGATTGCGAGTTCGCGCGGAGAACATGACGCAGTAGCGAGGTTGGGGACAGACCACACTTGCGCGTTCGTAAAGCGTTGTGGAATGGGTTTGAGCACGGTTGGGTACGGTATTTCAACTGCACCGTTTTTAATCATTGCGTACCACATTAGACCGTACTCTGGGAACTCCTAGGTGCCCTAAATTTGTGCGGATGCCTGATGCGCCAACCACATGGTCGCGTCAGGTCGCCAAGATGCCCATCCCCTATGCACGAATGCTACGATTAAAAGCATGAGCTACACTGTACCCAGCAAGTTAGTGTAAAGAAACAAAACAAGCAACTCTATATGTGAACCTTCATTGGAAAACCACTGGAGTTTGTGGACTGCCAATAAATCTCGTAATAAATGTGAATCTGAATAGAGCACCATTGCAAGAGTGATGCACGTGTGCTTTCGGAGAAGGCAGGGAGAATACACAGACAACACATTCCAGCCGTTGCTACCTATTGTACGGTATGTAAGAAAAGATACAATGCTCAACTCAGGACAAAGCCGGTCTGCGGAAGTGGATGCTGGACTTCGCTCCGCATACTACGGTATATAAATTACCTATGATGCCGCCGTTTGGTCAGTCGCACAGACCACTCGGCACAGCAGTTTCCCCGTCATGAACAAACGTTCAGAAACTTGAGGGTTTTGTACGAGAGTAGGGAGAACAGCCCCGCAGCAGCAAATCCAACGGCTGCCGTTGAAAGGATCGAGAACGCGAGGAACGTCAGAGCAGCAATGCTCCAACCCAGAGCTAGGTACACGCAGCAGAGCGGCACGAAGACGCACATCCCTAAAAGAATCCCGAAAAGTACGGAAACCACGGAAAGCAGATCCGCGATTTGAAAAACCATCTGTCTGGAGTCTAATCTCGTTCGACAGACTTCCATGGCGTGAGTGGCTGCCCGTTTTTCTCTCGGGCAGTCATTAGCATCGGTGATGAGGCGAAGAAGAGCAAAGTTTTTGGGCATGCTCGCGAGGCCCTTCCAAACGACCAAACACCTACATTCCGGGCAGCTGATGCATTTCTTCCCGAAGAAATCCTGCAAAGAGACGAAGGGGCGCAGCGGGTGGGAAGCTAACAAAATGAGTGACGAGGTAGGGGAAAGGATGATTGGAATGGTATCGAGGAGGAAGTTACCAGGGTATCATTGTTTCTTACAATGGTGGCTACCCGGATCTAAGGGAGATTCCTGACACACGTGTCGTTGGAGTCGACTCGAATCTAAGTGCGTGTCGTGGGTCACCCTCTATGCCTAACCTGGGTCAACCCCAACGTTTACCCTGTGTCACCCCTAATAACCTACCCGAGTCAAAGGGAGATTCCGGGCACAGGCTTGGCAGATGGTGTGGCCGCAGGCGACCAGCCGCGGAACGCGCTGCTCCTGATCGTACAGCTCCAAGCACACCGGACACTCCGGGACCACCGGAGTAGCAACCCCCTCCGCTTCCCCCGCCGCTCGTAGCTCGGAACCCCCTAAAGCTCCGCTGACCATGGCTTTGCAGTCTGAAGGGTTATCTGCAGCTGAAGAACCCTCCGCTGAGGAGGCGTTTGCTGACGTGGCATCTGCTGATGTGGCACCTTCTGACGAATCATTTGGCGGGACATCGGCGCAACCATTGGTGCAGTCGTCCCAGTCAGAGCAGCTCGCGTCGGCCAATTCTACCATGGCGAGGAGTCTAGATTTGAGGCGCCTCAAAAGGCGAGAACGTTAATAACCTTGATCCGTTTTCTATGAATGTTGAACGTGACTACAACCGAACCGAAAAAAATGTCGATTTGGATTCAAGGCAAGTGCCGGTCGCGGACACTATGCAGGCGGTTTGTGACAGGCAAGCTGACGAGTCAGCATTGACGCTTCAGGCTAGATTGGATATAAATCTACTCAACAAAGCGAGGCTTCGCAAAGGTAATGCTTTGGATCTGGTCTTTGCGACATAACTTAGCGGGACGTTAAGAGTCGGTCGCTAGGGACAAGTGTATTTGCCCGTACTAGGAGACAACTAAGAAATGACAGAGGAGCTATGTGAAAAAAATGCCACACTGAAAACGAGGCCGCACCGTCAAGCCAAGGAGACACACCAAGCGACGCGCTTTATCCTGCGCCCGGGAGTTTTCTTAGAGTTAGCGAGTGACGTGGCAGTGACAGGAAAGTATGGAGAAGGAAGCGGGAAACACGGATGTCAAGCTGGTGGGTGGTAGTGATGATGGTGGCGGTGGTCGCGGTCGAGATGCTCTGGTGTGGGTGATGATGTTGCTGTTGGGTCGGGGGAATGAGGGGTGGGAAAGGTGGGGGAAAGGGAGGGTAAGGACGCGTCACAATTGCGACATCGATCATGCGGGAGATCGATGTTCGGGGTGTACAGTTTTCGCTGTGTCTTGTATCCCTTTTTTCGTTAAAGTTCGCTAATACCCAAAACACGTCACCGAACGCGATGTCCCTTCCAAATCGATCTGTCACCGCACTCAAATCTTACGTAATGCATTTAAAAAATTAAAAAGGCTTCTAATCCCGCTAACTATCGAACCTGAAGACGATCGCGACACATCTGGCTCAGAGGAGATCGATTCTCACTGCTTCGGTGTGTGACCGCGATCCTCCCTCGATGTCGCAATTGTGACGCGTCCTAATCGAAGGGTGGGAAATCGAAGGGTGGGAAATCGATGGGGGTAGAATGAGGTGGGGGGTGGGAATTGATTAGGGGGGGAATGAG